GAGACAGAGTCTCACTCTGTCACCCCTGCTAGAGTGTGGTGGTGTCATTATAGCGCATTGCAACTTCAAACTCCCGGGCTCAAGCGATCCTCCTCCCTCAGCCTCCTGAGTAACTGGAACTACAGGCATGTGCCACTGTGCCTGGCTGATTTTTCTATTTTTGGTAGAGACGGGGTCTCGCCCTTGCTCAGGCTGGTCTCGAACTCCTGAGCTCAAGTGATCCTCCTGCCTTGGCCTCTCAGAGTGCTAGGATTGTAGGTGTGAGCCACCGTGCCCAGACTATAGTCATCTTTAGATTAATATTCTGAAAAAAATAAACAATAACAGTTTGGATTTTCCCAGAAGCCTCACAAATGTGAAATATTTCCATAGAAAAGTGTAGGGCAGGATGCCAAACTTGGGGTTGGACTTAAGGAGCCTCTGAGCCCCCTGAGAAAAGTAGGCAGAATTTGGGATCTATGGGGGCATTTTTTTCTGGGGAAACATGGTTCATAGATGTGTCAAATTTCCAGATGTGTCTGTGGACCACTAAATTGTTAAGAACCAATGTTTTAGAGGTTGTAGATTTCAAGCTTCAAAGACCAGGAAAACACTAAATGAAATGACTCTTGACGGAAAATAGGTGACTGACTATATTAGGGTATTTTCAGTTTTTGATGATAGAAACCAGCTCAAACAAGCTTATGTAAAAGAGGAGTTGAAGCGATCTCCTGTTAATGATATTTAAAGGCATTGGTTTATGTAACTTTAAAAAATCCCCAGAAAACACTGGGAAAATTCTGGCTCCGGGAACTACTGAACCAGGTACTTAAATAGTGTCTTTAAGTAGGGTTTTCCTCGACCTTGCTCTTTGGTTTTCTCTGTATTGGCTTTAGTCTTAGGTCTGCTGTTCTATGATGGAAAAAGGTGTCAGTCTGCATCTTAAGCCTTTAGGTTTTCAGAGTTTAAGATTCCAGAGGAAGAGAAGGTAGTATTCTTCCTGATAACTGGCAGATGTCCCAGAGAGGACTCTGACAAGTCTGGTTCAAGTCATGTGCCCATGCCGAGGGCGATGGAGTCATCACCAATCAAATTACAGGGACCGAATATAATTAGCATGAAACTGGGGAGAGGAAATTCCCCAAAGAAAGGCAATGTATAAGACCAAAAACAATATCTTCTACAGTGATTGAAAAGTTTGAAGACAGATAAAATAGGTAATGGAGTGAAAATTTCACATTAGATACTATCACACTTAAGTTAAAATGATCACACTTAGATACAAGTGGTATCTAAGTTTTTTTGCAAATCTCACATTTTTCTATATGGGTTTCAATTCTTTCACTCTGAAAGTTTTATTCATTTGTTTAACAATATTTGAGAACCTGCTGTATTCCTTCATCATTCTTTGCACTAGGACTATAGCAATGAACGAAACAAAAATCCCTGCTGCCTGCATGGAACCTACATTCTAGTAAGGACAGGCAGATAATACATAAGATAAATTAATAAAATATATAGCATGTTAGGTGGGGGTAAGTGCTCTGGAGAAAATAAGCAGGGAGGGGAAATAGGAAGTAGCTATTGCAGTTTTAAAGGATGGCTAAGGATGGTCTCACTAAGAAGGTGACCCATTTGAACAAAGACGTGAAGGAGGTGAGGAAGGAGCAAGCCATTTGGATATCAGGAGGAAGAGGATTTCAGGCAGTAGGAAGCAAGTGCAAAGGCTTGGAGTGTTGGAGGAACTGTGCAAAGAGGCTTGAATCAAGAGCAAGAAGGAGAGGGGAGGAAGAGAAATAGGGGATATGTTAAGTAAGACATTGGTAGGAGCAGATTGCGTAGACCCTGGGAGGGTACAGTAAGGGCTATGGTAAAGAATGCAAACCATCAGAGGGTTTTGAGCAGAGGAGCAAATTGATCTGACTTATTTTTTAAAGGATCCCCTAACTACTGTATTGAGAATGCATTGTAGAGAGAGAAGGGTGGAAGTAAGGAGACCAATTAGGAGTGATTGCTGTTGCAGTAATTCAGGCAATAAATAATGGTGGCACAGACCATTGTGGTGGTGGAGATGATGAAAAGTGGTCAGATATGAAGATAGATTTGCTGTTGGGTTAGATATATGAGGTAACAGAGAAACAGAAGAGTCAAAACTGACTCTAGAGTTTTTGGCCTGAGCAATTGACCACAGTAATTTAATGAGCTAGAGAAGCCCAGGAGAGGAGCAGGTTTTCACATGCTAAATTTAAGCTGCTGGAGTTCAGGTCTGGGCTAGAGATAGAAATTTGGAAGTTGTCAGCACATAGTTAGTATTTAAAGCCAAGAAACTGGATGAAATCATCAGGCAATAAGCATAAACATGTAAGAGAAAATGTGTCCAAGGACTGAACATGCCAATGTTAAGAAGTTAGGGAGAAGAGGAGGTACCATCAAAGAAGGAAGACCAAGAAAGAGCTAGTAAAGTAGAAGGAAAATGAGTAAAAGTCCTGGAAGCCAAATGGAAAGAAAAGTTTTAAGGAGGGTTGAGTGATCATTTGTCAGATGTTACTTATAGAACAATTAAGTTGAAAACTGAGATTTGATGATTGTACTTAATGATAATCCCCTTCACAAGAACAGTTTTAGTAAATTAGATTTGATTGAGGAGATATTCATTAGCACATGCCCTTTCCTTAAGGAATTTAAATTCCAAATCAGATATTTATTGATTATTCCATCATTCTTTTGCTCTCTGTTGTACATGTTGTGGATTAAAAACTTTGTGTCTTGAACTCAAGATGAATATGCAAGTATGCTGGTTAAGGGATTTATATATTTGTAGTAAGAAATATTTATGATCTTTGGAATGAAGTAGAAACACCTTAATAAATGAATTATTTTGTCATATTTTTCCTTCTATATTTGGAGTTTTTTAAACTTAATTTTTACAGGAAAACTAAAAGTCAACTCAAGGACGGAGTCTCGCTCTGTCACCTGGGCAAGAGTGCTGTGGCATCAGCCTAGCTCACAGCAACCTCAAACCCCTGGGCTCAAGTGATTCTCCTGCCTCAGCCTCCAAAGCAGCTGGGATTACAGGTGCAGGCCACCATGCCCAGTTAATTTTTCTATTTTTAGTAAAGATGGTGTCTCACTCTTGCTCGGGCTGGTCTCAAACTCCTGAGCTCAAGCGATCCTCCTGCCTTGGCCTCCCAGAGTGCTAGGATTACAGGTGTGAGCCACCGTGCCCAGCCCTGATATCGTTTTAAGTAGTCAATACTATCTGTGATCATTGATACTGAGAAACACAGGAGTTGAAAATGTAAAAAGGGTTTCATTTCTCTGATGAAAATGTATATTGTTCTTCTTTATTAGAAATTCATTGAATTTGAAGACTCTCAAGAACAGGAAAAAAAGGACTTACAGACCCGAGTGGAGTCTTTAGAATCTCAAACAAGACAACTTGAACTCAAAGCAAAAAACTATGCTGACCAGAGTAAGTAAAAATACCTCTCCTCATAAAGTGCACATTAAAGAGTGGACTCTAATAGTGCAATGACTCATCCTGACCATTTGACTAGAGTTCCAAATATGTGCTTGAGATTGTCATCCCAGACTCAAGAGTGAGACCCGGAGCTAGGGTTAGTTCTTTTTCATTCACAGTTTCACATGGTACCCATGTATGCAGAAATAACTAAAGTTACCTGTATGGCTCTCTTCTTCAGTTTAGTTCTCAGCCTTTGTTTGTAGTTAACATTATGCTCTGTTTATGCAGGTTGTGTGCATGTGGCTCATTTCTCCCAATTTTGATCAAGTACACAAAGTTCCCTTTTTTCTGTATTGCTTTGAAATGTAAAAATGTAAGAAAAACTCTAGCTTTGAAGTTTCTATAAAAATACTGAAATCTCTTTTTTGTTTCTTTCTAATGGAAAAGTGAGGGCATTTAGGGGAACAGAACTTCATTTTTTAGAATCATTTTATTTTAAATATTTCATTCTTGATTTTTAAAATAATTATTGTTTCAAACCTCAAGGATGATTTTCCCTTTCTGACTAATGAAAACAGACCTAATTAAGTCAAAATTAGAACAGAAATGGTGAGAAACTTTGGCCTGTTTTCATATCTGATTCAGGTAGATAGAGAGCTCTCTGCTTCTCCTTCCCACCAGAGTAAATTTCCGGAATCAGAGAGAGCAAAAGATGGCCAGGCAGTTACTCTCTCCTCATTACTCATTAAGGCTACATACATGGTGATACCTGCTGTTAAGGTGCTGTCCTTCGTGATGGATAACCTTTACTATCAGGCCTCCGGTGTGTGTGAGAACTGACTGTTCCCTCTAGAACTATGGAAGGGCCTAATAGAGCTAAATCAAAATCACTGGAAATCTGGAATCCCAGCAATCTAGAATTCAAGGAGATCTCCTGTAGCTGTTAAGCAGATGTCATAGAAGAGAGCCAATGGATGTTTGGTAACAGCAGTTAACCTAAGTGAAACAAAATGAGCGATGTGTCATGTCTTTGTATTTTTAGGCTTGTAGCTACCTAGAGTTTTATACCCTTCCTTTGTTAAATACATACAGTGACCTCTATGATTCTACTATAGAAATTTAAGATCTTAGCTGTATGATGGACTCCACCACAGTGCATACACTAACAACTATATTATTGGAATCACATTACTATGAGTACCACTTACGTGGAAAAATGCCAGTTGCAAGCTTTTAGTATGTTTCAAGAGTTAAGTGTTCTTCATTCAAAGAAAAAGAAAATTTAGCTTTTAGTGATAATATTTTAATCCTAACCTGATTATGCTTTTATATCAGGAATTATATAGTATTTTAGAACAAACAATAAAGGCACAGTTGGCAGAACTAGCCTAACTTTCATTGTTATACATATTAAATTTTCTTCTGCATTTCTAAAGAGTATCAAGTTTTTGGTAGGAAAATTTTCTTTTGACTTAGGAGGAAGGAATTCCTTGTCTAAAATCCTTTTATGCATTAAAGATAATGTTTCTGTGATAAGGGAGATATTAGAGGAAGAATTACCTTGTACTTGAAATTGCAGTTTTGATATTAAAATGTCTTCAAATGTCTCTCTCACATTCAAAGGAGATACTGCTTCTTTTTTCATAAATGTAACTAACTGGAATGAATTACTGATTCTTTCACATACATGTTGGCCCTTTTATTACTAAAATTAAAAAATCTGTTTCCTGTTCCTTTCTAGTAAATGTAAACAAAATATAGTAGTTTCTTAATTAAGGAAAGTGATCAATTTAGGAGAATATTTTGAGTGTTTCAAATGTGTCTTTTTCAGTGTCTCAGATTTGTTATCCAGTCCAGTGAGTCACATCCAACTTTTTTGGAATTGTCATTCTGTGGGACCCATCCTCTCATTCCTCTCTCCAAAAGTATTAATTATAACATTTTCCATTTTAATTCAAAGACATTAAAAAATTAGGTATCATTAAGAAATAGTTGCTAATACTCTAGGGGAGGGAGGAAGAAATTCTTTACCAAGTATTGGATATGGTATTGAGCTTAATTTGATCTGAAAGCTTTATTTTTTGCTATTAATATACTATCTTCCGAAGAATTTCTCCCCTGGAAGTCTGCTGTCCCATTCGAAGTAAATCTTGGTGTCTAAATCATTAAAGAACTTAAAATTGTGGTTAGTCAAAATCGACCATTCAGATGCACAAAGTTGATAACATTAAATCGCTTTTTCCATGAACTGAGGTTATGAAGAGCCATCTTTTATTAAGGCTTTGGAGCTTATTCCCTTCTCCTGTCTTTGAGACTTTGGAGTCTTTTCTCTTTTCCATCTAATTATTTTTCTCTCTCTTCCTTCTATTTTTCTCTAAGGCTTAACTGGATAAAATATGAAATCTAAGTGTATCTTCAAAATTCTTTCCCAGTCCTTATTTTACCACATTAAAACATCCCCTCAGCATTTTTGGGGGGGAAATATTTGACTATTTTTTCACTTTACTCCGTTAGCTTTTCTTCCCCAAAATCTCCAATATGAATCAAAGCCCTTTAGTTTTTAAAATGGTGCTGGTAGGAGGTAATCTTTAAGTGTCATCATTGCCATATAGTATTGGAAAGCCAGGACTGGGAATATGTGTTTTTCAAAAGATGAAAACAAATTTAAATAAATATGTGTCAGAAAATATTCTTTTTTGTATTATAGGAAAAAGATTATTTGGGCTATCGAAGTATCTTAATTCTACAATTAATTTTTGTTTTTTAAAGAAAATATATACTGATTTTTGTTAAAGTAACTGTAACCTACCATCTAATTTAAAATAAGCATTTATTTAGGACGACTGTCATTACTGTTGGTGGTACGTGTAGTTGGGGAGGCGTGGGTGTAGTTTTTCCTGTTCATTGTCATTTTTTGGAGTGCTGTATGATAACTATACCTTGTCCAATTTTCATGTTTATGTTTGTGTAATCCGTTACAGTCTTTAATTTTAAAAGACTGAGTATGTCAATTTTGATTGTATGTTTTAGGGCCCATTATCCGTTTTAAAAAGTAGCCACAATATGAGAAATGGGCACACTTGTCAGGTGGTGCAAAGGCAATTTATGTAATGAAAGCATTTGTACCCCTGTAATACTCTGTAAAAAAAAAAAAAAAAAGTAGCCACAATAAAAATCCAAGTTCTACTCTAAATACTACTTCCTGTGTTAAAAGGGGAAATTTTGGTTGCAGTTCTTTGCTATTTGAGAAGCAAGAAAAAGTAAAGAAATAGGAACTGAATTAAAAGACATACTTTGTGGTATGATTTAACAATATTGAGAAGTTGAATCTATAAAAAATTCATTACAATTTTGTGGTCATGTTTGATTTTGGAGTTTCTGGTTGCTCTCTTTTCAAAATTCGAACTGACATAAGAAATATTTTTTATTTTCCAATATGAATAAAGCATTGTTTAAAATGCTGTATTTTACTTATCTGAGAGTTATAATACTTCTCGTAATTAACATCTTGTGAACCTTAAGGAAGAATCTGAAATACATGTGGTGTGGAATAAGGAAGTTGTGAATTGAGAAAGGCCTGTTGGTGCTTTTCAACTATGTAAGGAGTCTCTAATCGACTTTGCCATTCGTAGAGTGGCAGTAATGGGTTCTTTGTCAAAAAATACTCTTTATATTTATTTCTCTGTCATGTGTTGAGTATTTCTGTCTTGTAAGCCAAATATTACCTACCTAAATGAGTGAAGTAAATATAGACGTTTTAATACAGTTAAAAATATTAAACTACTACTACTACAGTGTGCCGAGCATTCTGCCTAGGTATGGTTGTGGTACAGAAGAACATGATATGGTCCTTTTTTTGTTCAAGGAAATCATAGTTTTGGGGGGAAGTGAGGGAAGATTATGTGCATTGCCTTCTAGTCTTTTTTCCACATGTATCGCAACAGTTAGAGTATACGTATAATTTTGTGTCTTTTCCTTAACGTTATCATAAGTATTTTCCTTGTTATGTATTCATTAATTATTTTTTTAATGTCTGCATACATCCAACATCCAGAAACTATGTCATCTATTAACAATTCTTTTTTTTTTTTTTTTTTTTTTGTGACGGAGTCTCACTCTGTTGCCCTGGGTAGAGTGCAGTGGCATCATCACAGCTAACCGCAGCCTCAAACTCTCCTGGGCTCAAACGATCTTCCTGCCTCAGCCTCCTGAGTAGCTGGGACTATAGGTGCACGCCACTACTCTTGGCTAGGTTTTTCTGTTTTTGATAGAGACAGGGTTCATGCTCTTGTTCAGGCTGTTCTTGAACTCTTGGCTTCAAGTGATCCTCCCGCCTCCCAGAGTGGTAGGATTACAAGCGTGAGCCACTGTGCCTGGCCGATAATTCTTATTTTTCCTAAGGAACTATGCTTTCTTCTTTCCTCTAATGGGAATTATTTAATGGCCATTTCATTTTTTATCTTGGTTACGTAGAAACTAAGAATAAACTTTGAAGTGCAGCCATAACAGCTAGGTTTGAACCTTACCTGGATGGCATATTTTTTTCCTCCATCTAAATTTTATGCATATATAATGAATATATTATCGTGTTCTTTTAAGCTATCCGAAATCTTTGTGGAATGAAGGAATTAATAAAGGTTAAATTAATGTAAGTAAATGAAAACAAAACAAAAAACATCCCCTGTTGGTTGGTTGGACGTTTTTTCTAGCGTAGTGAGTCATATTTACAGTAAATATTTTTTACACCTATAGGTTTTCCCCTCTTGATAATTTTCTTAGAATATATTTAAGGAAGTAGGTTAAGGAATATGAACATTTTTGTGGTTCTTGGTATATAAATAGCATTTGGCTGTTTCAATGTGAATAGAATTGGAGAAGTATTAGTAACAAGTTCTAGTATGTTTATGTTAACTTATGAATTTGAACCATTATTTACAGTATATTATTACCCAGAGCCGATATAGAACCGTTTGTTATTTGATTCTCTCTTAGGAAGTTTCTATTGCCCT